AGTTGAGGCGATGAATACAATTTGTGTTTGTGTATTTATACTCTAGCGGCGGTAACGTCGTGAGTAGTCTGACTTACAAGTGCTTTCTGTCTCGCTTGCACACTCGTTAATTTAGCAAGAGCGAGTTAAGCCACTAACTATACTATCCGAGGCCCGTGGCAAATGCTGTGGCTTGAATTAGGGTCCTGGGCTGGGGCCCCCGACCTTAGGGGGCCCCAGCCCAGGACCCTAATTCAAGCTACAGGCATTTTGCCAGGCCTGCCATTATAGTTCCGCCATTGAAATATTGACAGTTTCTTACGCTGCTTCTTCTCAACACTGGCCCATTTTTATTGTCCCGAAGCAGAGGTAAAGTTAAAGTAATACTGAGTACCAGGTACTCAGGTTACTATTAATTACAGGTCCTGTAATATCGCTTTTTCAAAGCCTATGCAATAACTAAATGAGTTTTATTCAATATTTCAATTTGGCACGTGTTGCGTGTGTTTCTGTACACACGGCCACACTCGTTAACTATCCATTTCCGTTTTTGCTCTCGCTCTAATCAAATTATGATTCTTTGCGATAGAACGAGACGACATGAAAGGCAATGGATAGTGAACACTGTGGCCGATGGTACATGTACACGACGTACACGTATTTATTACGTCATCACGAGTACCGTGTCCGCCTCAACTTTCGCTGTTCGATCTATAGCATGTAAAAGTGAAGCAGCTCACCTGCACATCGAAGGGTTGATGTTGCTGATGCGAGTCGGGCGCGGACTGCACGACGGCGGCGCCGTTGACGAGGTTGGCGGCCGCCGTCACGCCGCCGCCGGCGTTGCCCACGCCGCCCACGCCACCCACGCCGCCGCCCACGCCTCCCACCCCGCCCACGCCGCCGTACTGGCAAAACAAAAGGTTTAATGCTGGATTTCTATATTCAATCCTAATCCAAATTAGACGGATTTGGATTGTCAACTGTCAAATTTTAATATGTTTTTGGGCAAAATATCTGCGGTTTTTGATGTTTCTACATTTTTATATTGTTTATAAGACTTTTAAACAATATTAAAGTGTAAATGCATCGAACATTTTGGAAATACAGGGTGTTTGGCGCATCGTGTGCCAAAATGATTTGGCGGATAGAATGGGTAATTTCCTATATTTTCAGCCCCCATAACACNGCGCGTGCGCACAAAGGAATGAGACCGCTCGGACACCGAGCCCACAGCGTGGTAGGGGTGGGGTTGCCCGCTCTTTTGTTTTTTAATACTACTACGCTGAATATTGTGTGCGGATTGGGTTGTCGTACAGGGGTACTACATGGTAAAATAAATCTCGGAGGCGAAAGCAGGATAATGTAAATAGTATACAAATGACATTGGGAACTTTTTGCCCCACTTTTCGAAAAGTAGCGGACACAAACGAAACCTATCACAGATGATACTTAATATTATCCAATGAATTTCCGTGCATTTTTTTTCTCTCTTATATGGGAATATTGAGAAAATGAAGTTTTAATATTTTATTTTATTTTACATTTAAACTTTTATTGCATCTAAATATTAATAATATCATCACAAAAATACGCCAAATGACATCTGTCGTTGTGATCTGTGCGCTCCCGTGTTTTTTTAACTTATTACTGAACCAACTGATTGCTTTGTATTACGGACATTATCGAGTTTGCTCTTTGATTGGGTTTCGGTTTAAAATGGATAGACAAAACCGTTTTCAAGGTGTGCCGGGCCAATCCTGAGGTCCCGGGTTCGATTCCCGGCCGGGACAATATAGAAAACGATCTTTTCACATTGTCTGTGGTTTGGGTGTGTTGTGGTTCGTCGTTCCCGATTTCCATAACACAAATGCCTTAGCTACTTATTTTGGGTTGGAGTAATGTATGAGATGTTGTCTAATATTAATTTATTTATAATATTTTATTTATTTATATTTTTTATTTATTTATATTATTTTATTTACTTATATTGGTTACTCTGCAATGCCAAACAACATAACATGTAAAAATATCAAATCATTTTAGACAAATATATTTTCAACTTAGACTCGTCACATTCCAGAATTCCCATATGTCACAACATAGCGCTTTAAGTGAATATACCTACAAGTATAAAGCTTTGAAATAAAATACGTTTCATCTTTGTCCGCCGTGGGGCATTTTCTCATAGTAAAGTTCCCAATGTCCTTTGTCTCAGTTTAAAAAAAAATCTTGTTATAATGTTAATAATTTTAACGAAATTAATGAAATATGAACACGCCATATTATTATAATATTATGGAGGTTCATTCATAGGTACTAGCGGCCGTCGGCGACTTCGTACTCGTGGATCCCGTCTTATGCTGGATTTCTAATATTCAATCCTAATCCAAAATATACGGATTTGGATTGTCAACTGTCAAATTTTAATATGTTTTTGGCCAAAATAACTGCGGTTTTCGATGTTTTTACATTTTTATATTGTTTATAAGACTATTTTAACAATATTAAAGTGTAAATGCATCGAAAATTTTGGAAATATAATCTAAAACTGAATTCAATTTGACAGTTGTAATCCGGATTTGGACAAGGATTGAATATGGGAATCGGGCGTTAGTGAGCACCTAGCCACCTACGTTCTAAAAGTAAACCCCATGCAAAATTTTAGACTTCTAGAAGTCGTAGAACTTGTAGCACAGTGTATGATTTACTTGTAGTTTCTGAGATTTCATGATGAGTGAGTGAGTGAGTCAGTGACCTTTCGCTTTTACGAATATGGATATGACTAGATTATTGTATTATAACATCATTTGCATACATTTATTGAATACTAGCTGACCCGGCGAACTTTGTTCCGCCTTATGGCAATAAATAAGCAGACTTTTTTTTTAATTTCGAACGGGATAAAAAGTGTCCTATGTCCTTCTCCTGGCTCTAAATTACCTCCCTGACAATTTTCAGCTAAATCGGTTCAGCCGTTCTTGAGTTATAAGTGGAGTAACTAACACGACTTTCTTTTATATAGGTATAGATTATACACAGACATCATGAAAAATCATTCACATTTTTTGTGCAGAGCAGCTCCTGGTCTATGCTTTGGTAGTTGCATTTTCCTAATTTATTATCAGAGTTCCGTACAAGCTTTCTCTAAACGGGACATCTGTTACAGGAAATTGTCAAGATATAAATAAATTATATGCTGCTGAATCGATGGATAAAAGGACTTTAATTTGGTACTACGACAAAGATGAAAAACTTTTATAATGTTTTTTTTTTCGAATTAAGTTTTTTGCTGATTCGTGTTCAGAAAAAGCTACATAATCAACTCCCTAAATATGGCGAGTATTGAAATCAACAGCCTGTATAAAAAACATTAATAATCAGATATTTTACTCTGCGTAGTTGAAACGTGTACTTGTACTATAAAATTGTACAGAACATTCTGCACGACTCGGTCTTGGCAGTTTTTTTATCTGGCCATCATTAATCACACCGGAAGTAAAGTTATCTTGTTAAGCCTTACTGATTAGTTTATGTCTCATTTAATTTAATTTATTTTTGATGAAATAAAAACAGTTTGAAAACTGTTTTAATTGAAGTAGGTAGGTATTATTCTGTGATTAAGTTAGCATTAATATAAAAAAATTGTTAGTGTGTTTGCATGTGTGCAGAATCCTGCACTTAGTAATCACTTTTATTTTGACATCACCACAACAAGGCTGGGTTGCACCATCTTGTTTTAACAAACGTAAAAATCTGTCAATCTTCATACGTGTGTAATTTTTAATGATGTTTATGTGTACCCATTGTGGTGCTGTAACGATTTCTTTCATTCATTCAATAATTCCCACTGTATTTCAGGCTTATAACTTTTCAGTAGACCAAGATATGGCATCAACAGAAAAAGCGTGGGCTGTCCCCTCACGTATATCGGACGAAAATAATCTTGTTTCCTTGGAAAGGTCCTTTTGAACAAAACACTCGCTTTTCTAAGTGCATTTTATTCAGTTAGACCCTCTAAGGCCTCGGCCTCGATGCCCACTTACAAAAGACCCCAGCTCTTTTTCATCTACACCTTTTAGTTCAACAATTTACAAGGGCTATAGAGGTCACGGTAGGCTGGACATTAGACAGTACACAGTCACTCGATGGAATTGGTAAAAATTCGATTATTCTTGCCCGTTATTTGGAACTATTAGTTGGAACATTTCTTTTCATGGAGTGGCAATAAACGAATATTATGATTTATTTTGTAAGCCAATGAATTATTTCTCCAACCCGTCTGGTCAGCGTGGGGAGTGTAGGTCAAATCTTCCATTTGCCTCTGTCAATTAGAGAGGGTGTGTAGTGGAGACCAAAAGATCTAAGAAATCCAGATGATGTGACATTACAAAGTTAACGCCTACACCTTCTTCGCTTAACTCCGCTGTCTGTTGTAATTGCTTGAACAATATTATCAGGCGTTTCCGACTCGATCCTACGATGTACGCGTAACTCCTACAAAGTTCTAGCTTTTGTAAAACTTGAAGTTGTTAATGTCCGACGCAGCTCAGCAGTTCAGCGAACGAACTTCACTGCACTTTGAATGTACAAGTGGTTGCAGTCAGTGAAACTCAAATGTTTAAAACACTTGATTCGAGCCTATGCTGAGTATGAGTTTATATCAAACGCGCTCACTAGTGAGCGCGTTTAAAAATGTATGAAAATTTTAGTTTTCGCGCGTTTTTAGGGGCGCTGTACAATCCGTCATACATTTAATGTCATTTTTTGTCGCCCTCACTAGTGAGCGCGTTTGACGTAAACTCACACTAGGCCCTCAGGTCTAAAATGTCGACATAATATGAGCCATTACATAGAAACTATGACTGTTTGTTTTTCATAATAAATTAGCTAAGAAGAAGTGCAACAATGTATACGTGGTGTCCAGTTTTCCATAAACTCGTACTGTATAAAAATATTGTTGTAAGAACCTTTATGGTAACAAATTAATAAAAAACAAAAATATTAAATTTTCAGAGCAACAACAACGAAGCGTTACAGCTCCCGTTAACGGTAAGTGTACTACTTGTATGGATATCAAGCTAAATACTGTTATTATACAGGGTGTTAGACAAATGGTATATAAAGCCGACTTCTTCTTCTTCTTCTCAGTCGGTACACTCTTGTCAGAGTGGTCGTGGTCATCATTTTGAATCACGATTCAGAGTGATGTTCCTCGTAATACGGCGCCATTCCTCGCGGACTTCAGCTTTCCGGGTACTTTCGCTAACCGAGCACTTAGTTGCGGCCTTGATCTGGTCCGTCCATCTCATTGGTGATCTACCACGTGGTCTGGTTCCCTCAACTTTTCCCTGCACTACGATACTATAAAGCCGACACTAGCCTACTTATGTTAACATATGCATATAAATATTATAGTGAAGCCAGAATGGAGAAGATCTATTTTGTAGGGACAAAAAACCCAGAATTGATTGGGACTAAATGATATGAGTAGTTTCCATAATGCTTCGCTTGATATACCATTCACCTAACACCCTGTATGTCCTAACTTCTTAATTAAAATATGATTAAAAACTTTAAATACATTAATTATTTCAGACGCCGCCGCCTAAAGAGGAAACAATACCGTTTAAAATTCTACCAATGGTAAGTATCCATATTTACTTTTTACGTTTCTACATAAGTGATACATAAAATACACACAGCGCCATCTAGTCCCAAATAAAGCAAAGATAATGCTTGTGCGGTCAGCATTTATTTACAATAAGTAAGTAAACCAGTCAAAATAAGGAATTGCTTAAGAAAAGTTAACAACAGAGTTGATATGGTGCAAAAAATATGGGCAAGAATCACACTGAAATCTTTTTTTACACTTAGAAAACTCCATGTCGAAATCAACAAATAATATTTCCAATGTCTGAATTACACAATATATTATTACGATCAAGTAATCAAGAGCTCATGGTTTCAAGAGTCTTTAGTAGGTAATAAATAGAAAATGCTGATACTTAACGAGTGATTTTTAACTATTAAAGATTTTTTTTTCAGAATCCTTCCTTGGCGGAAAGATTTCAGGATACGGTAAGTCAGAATAGATTTTTAAAAGAAAATTTAGTAATTGATTCTTACATTTCCACAACGAATGTTTCTGCGCTACCCTCATCCTGCACTTTCTGAATGCCACTTGAGAACTTTTCTGTCCCTTCAGAACTAATTAAAATAGAATTTTCAGCATGGAACGTCTCTTAAATTATATTTTTATATCTTTTTTAGCATTTACAAAGTAATTTTTTCCTCTTTCTTGATTAATTTTCACAATTACAATAAAGCACAGTGCGCGAAGAGACCGCACTATCGGCGCGATATGTTTCTTCGCCCAGTGTTTGTTGGGAACTCAGTTCCCTTCTATGATCTGAGGTTGGGAATATCGACAAACACAGTTTGATGTGCTGCTGATTGTAATTTAAAAATAACGAGTTACACTTTCAGGACCAAAATAATGAAGACTACAAGGCCGATGATCCCTGCAACTACGACCGAGTCAACCACACACGACCTGAAAGCTCAAGAAAAGGCAAAAGAGTTAGCGATATCAGTAAAGTCTACCTTTCACTTTTCTTTTTGAAATAGATCGTTTCATCCACGATGCGCCCCACCAATTTTTGGTCGAGGGAAGCGCGGGGTGCGGTTTGATCCGAGCTATCCGAGCGTTATTATTGTAGAGTGCGTGTGTGTGCCTCATGGATAATATAGCATGTACCGATAACACTCAAACATTAGCGGAAGAATGGTGGGGCGCGTCTTCGTGGATGAGACGTCTATAGTCAGTAGTTACTAACTAGATGTGATTTGGTACGGGACTATTCTTACCTCTCGCAAATTTAAACTTTTGTGTAGCCAGGATCACACAGCTTGATGTTTGCTAGATTTTCAGGTGGTTCATCATCATTATTTCAGACACAGGACGTCTACTGCTGAACATAGGACTCCTCAAATGATTTCCGTAATTGACCGGTTGGTAGCGGCCTGCATCCAGCGCCTTCCTGCTACCTTTATGAGATTCTCTGTCCACCTTGTGGATAGACATCTGTTAAAGAGTGCAACAAAAACAAGCTGATTAATAAAATGTAATAGAAAACCTACTGTATCTGTGGTAGATGTCGCTCTTGTCTATGACATCTCTCTCGAACCCTCCATCATTGTGCTAGGTTGTACCTAAATTACTTTCCAAGATNGGATAGCCGGTGTCAGTTTGACCCTCATTTTGCCATACTGTCATAGCGCCTGCTTAAGGCCGCGGATGCTTTATCGTGGGGTGGTTCGAGAGCCAAATGGCGGCTCCTTTACGCCAGCATTTTGAAAAGCATTGCGCTTTACGGGGCTCCCATATGGGTTGCCATCCTCGACAGAAGTCGAGAGGCCCGCTCGAGAAGAGAGGTGGTCCGCCGCGTGGCTCGGAGGACGAGGCGCGATACCCTCGCAGTGTGTGTGGCGTGGGCTCGAGGCGCTGGGCCGGGACCTCGTGTTGGCTAGCATAGTCAAAGCAATGCTGGACAGTAATGAGGCCTGGGCGGACATAGCCTCCTTCTGCGAAAACGTCATGTTTCAAAATGAGTCCTCGGAGCGAGAGCACGAGGACGAACCAAACGCGCCCTCACTCCGTCGGCGGCGGAGGGGTCAGAGGAGGGGACAATATGATCGCTTCCTGATTCCCCTCCACGGTGATGGTCAGCGGCTGATAGTGTGAGGGTGCCCCCGCCTGCATTGCACACACCATCTCCTCCGTCAGACGGGAACAGCTGCGTGATCCCAGCTGTTCTGAGCGCCCTGAGCTTCTCTTCTCGCAAGCTCTGAGCGCCCGATTTGCCGCCCCCCTGGGCGTGCCGCCCGCGTGCGGTGCACGCATTGCACGCCCGCTTGCGGCGGCCCTGAACCTATACAACGAAACATTTTCACGGTATGATTCCTTATTAAACAAGCAGGTATGCAATTAATTTACGATAATATTGCAGTTGGCACAAAAAACGTGAAAGCACTATAATTTGTCACTTCCCTTTCTGTTCTTTTTTCAAAAATAACGAGCATGGTTATTAGGTTTTCCCCAATTGGGTACTAATAACATAATTACATTACTGCATTTCCTTTAACTCCCTCCCCATTTCCCTGCTTAAGTACTGGAGGGAGTGATACGTATCACATATTTAAATCATGCTACAGCACTGCAAACTTTAAAACTAAGTACGAATTCGCCCCAAAATGCCAGCAGAGTAGACTGTGGCAATATAGATAAGATTGTAACACAGAATCTTAGAGACGTCTCTCATGCCATATTGTATTTCGTCATGTAATATTGTTCAAATGCCAATCGTTCGTTCATTCGTTCGTTTCAGCCGAATGATGTCCACTGCTGGTCTAAGGCCTCCCTCCCTAAGGATTCGCATAACGACCGGTCCTTTGCTGCCTGCATCCAGGCTCTTTCCGCGAACTTCACCAGATCGTCTGTCCACCTTGTGGGAGGCCTGCCCATGCTACGTCTTTCGAACCGTGGTCGCCACTCGACAACTTTTCTGCCCCAACGGCCATCGTCTCTACGAGCTATATGTGCCCCGCCCACTGTCACTTGATTTTAGCAATTCTGCGAGCTATACCAGTCACTTTTATTCTCCTACGGGTCGCCTCATTAGGGTTCCGTACCTCAAGAGGAAAAAACGGAACCCTTATAGGATCACTTTGTTGTCCGTCCGTCCGTCTGTCAAGACCCTTTATCTCAAGAACGCGTGATCGTATCAAGCTGAAATTCACATGAAATACTCAGGTCTATTGTCCCTTTAAGCTGTGAAAATATCAAACTTCTAAGCCAAGCCAATCAAAAGATATGTTAAAGAGTGCAACAAAAACAAGCTGATTAATAAAATGTAATAGAAAACCTACTGTATCTGTGGTAGATGTCGCTCTTGTCTATGACATCTCTCTCGAACCCTCCATCATTGTGCTAGGTTGTACCTAAATTACTTTCCAAGATAAAATACAGAATGTCAAGTTAATTACGCATCTTTTCTTCAATTACCCAATAACCCTAACAGGTTATGGGCCCAGACACAACTAGTACATATAGTTAGAGTTGAAAGAAGAATTACACAGTTGATTTGCAAAAATTGCAAACTTGCATCCTTAGATTAATAAAGCCTTCCCTTCTTACACTTCCTTTTTTTATGAAATCGAGACTTTTAAGTCGATTTATCTTATTGTAATTAGGTAGGTACTTTGAATTCAATAAATAAGTAAGTAAATGATGCGTTTTGTTTTTGTTAATTATAAAATAAATAAAAACGTATTAAAAATTTCCCTACTTTCGGGAAAATCGCCTTCACTGTCTACACTCCCCAACAAAATTGACACTAATGACATAAGATTTGTGCCTCACTCTTGACGAAGCGTTTGTATGAAGACTATCCATCTAGGTTTTATTAATCTAAGNACAACTAGTACATATAGTTAGAGTTGAAAGAAGAATTACACAGTTGATTTGCAAAAATTGCAAACTTGCATCACAACAAAATGGAGGCGAAAGGCGTGGTGCTCAATGGGGGCAATTGGCCGGCGTGGAGGCTTCAAACAGCTATTATGCTAAAGGCTCGTGGTTTGTACGAAGTGGTTACTGTTGAAAAGCCAGAAAAGGCGGATAGAGCCATGATCGAGCAGTGGGAGGCCAGGGACAATAAAGCACAAGAACTCATTGTGCTACGTGTAGATGAGGAGGTATTGAATTACCTAGCAACATGTGAAACCAGCAAGGAGATGTGGGTCAAACTTACCAACCTCTACGAATCAAAGTCCAAAGTCGGTGTACATTTGATCCAACAAAAGTTCTACAATTTGAAGTATGAGGCGCCAATGGCTAAATTCCTCTCCAACGTAGAAGAAATAGTAACAAGACTAAAAACCATGAAAGAAGAAATCTCAGAGAAGATGGTTGTCACCAAGATCATTATGAGTCTGCCGAGCAGCTATAAACATTTCGTGTCAGCATGGGAGTCGGTTCCGGAGAGCGAGCAAACCATCAGTAATTTATCTGCAAGGCTATTGGTTGAAGAGGAAAGGTGCAAAGTTGAGGAAGAAGAGGTCACAGCGGCTCTGGTGTCAGATAGTAAGAAGAAAATTAGTGAAAATAAGTGTTACAATTGTGGTAAACTAGGACATTTTAAGAGAGACTGCAAAAATAGAAAATGTAACTATTGTGGTAAAGTTGGACACTTGTATAAGCAATGCAGAGCGAGGCAAAACACAAACAAGTCACCTAATGCGTATGTAATGCCAGGTTACACATCAAAATGTTGGGTTATGGACAGTGGTGCGAGTGAGCACATGTGCAAAGATAAAGATGTATTCATTAACTACACTCAGGTAAATAACAAACATGTAATTATAGGAGATGGTAAACAATTACAAGTATTAGGTATTGGTGATGTTGAAGTGTATGCTTTTAATGGTAAAAATTATGAACCCTCAATTTTATTAAATGTTTTACATGTTCCAAAGTTGCAAGTAAATCTATTTTCAGTTGTGTGTGCCATTGACAAAGGCTATAAAATGGTAGTACAGAGTTCTAATGAATGTTGCTTTACTAAGGATGGTAGGACAACATGCACCTCATCACGCTGTGGAGATTTGTTTATCATGAATTTTAATTTTAAAGGAAAAGTAGCTTTCAAAAGTGTGAATGAGTGGCATGAAGTTCTAGCACATCAAAATTACAACCATGTTAAAAATGTATTAAATAAATTTAATGTGAAACATGAAGGGGTGAGTGACCAGTGTATTTCTTGCCTTAAGGGGAAACAGCATAGACAGCCATTTCAAAGTAGTGATTATAGGGCATCCACTCCAGGTGAATTAATTCACATGGACTTGTGTGGTCCTATGGAGGAGTGTTCTCTCGGTGGTTCTAGATACCTTTTGTTGTGTAAAGATGACTATAGTAGCTTTCGATTTTTATATTTTCTAAAGAACAAGTGGGAAGTTAAAGATAAAATTTTTGATTTCATAAATAAATTTGAAAATGAGACGGGATATAAAATTAAAATTGTTAGGTCAGACAATGGTACAGAGTTTATTAATAAAGGGGTTTCATGCTTGTTTAACAGGAAGGGAATTACTCACCAGACATCTGTGAAATATACACCGGAACAGAATGGAAGAGCAGAACGGGAAATGAGGACAATGGTGGAATCGGCGAGGACTATGTTGTTGGATGCAGGTTTGGGAAAGGAACTGTGGGCAGAATCAATAAATACAGCAGCGTTTGTGATCAATAGAACGGGGCCTAGTAAAGAGATGAATAAAACACCATTTGAATTATTATACAAGAAGGAGTTTGACATAAATATGCTAAAGAAGTTTGGATCTGAAGTCTACATACATATTCCAAAGCAGAGAAGACTGAAGTGGGATGCGAAGGGTAAGAAGGCAATTTTTGTGGGATATGGTGATAAATGTAAAGGATATAGAGTCTGGATACCGAATACTAAGACAGTTGATACTTTCAGAGATGTGGTGTTTGTCAATAAAAACAATATGAAGGAAAAGGAAATAAAT